GAAACAAACTTGCAGACTTAGTAAACAATCTTATGGTTACCAGGGAAAGGTGGTGGGAGGGGATAAAGTCAGGAGTTTGAGATTTACAAATGTTAGCCACTATATATAAAAACAGATTTTTCTTAAAGTTTCTTTTGTATAGAACAGGGAACTATGTTCAATATCTTATAATAACCTTTAACAGAAAAAATACGAAAATGAATATACGTATATATATGCATGACTGGGACATTGTGCTGTACACCAGAGACTCACACATTGTAATTGACTGTAGTTCAATTTAAAAAAAATTTTGAAGTCAATATATAGGTTTAATAGCATATTACATACAGCTGAAATAAGTTAGTGAACAAGAAGATAGATTTAAAGACATTATCCAAAATAATCACAGCACATACTCTATTGAAACACCATCAAAGAGACACAAAGGATAGATAGAATGAAAAGGACTAATTTCACTTTGGAACTAAAGTTCCAGAAGGAGAGAGGAGAAAGAATTGAGCAGAGGGAGTATTTGAAGATAGAAGGCTAAGAATTCTCATGAATTGATAAAAGATAATTCACAGATTCAAAAATCTCAGTGAATTTTCAAAAGTTAAGAAAAAGTAAATCCACATCTAGACAAATCATAGTGAAACTGGTCTACACCAATTATAAAGAGATCCTAAAAGCATCAAGAGGAAAAAAAAAGCTAACATTTTAATAGCACTGAAAAGGTGCTACCAGTGTTCTGAATGTCTTCCATGTTAGTTCACTTAATCTTCATCAAACTCTATCAGCTAGGTACTGATACTATATTATTGCTCCCATTTTACAGAAGGGGAAATTGAGGCATACAGAGGCACAGAGAGGTTAATCAGCTTGCCCACTGTCATACAGTTGGTAAACCAAAGATCTACGATTTAAATCAAGGCAGTCTGATTCCAGAGGCCACACCTTTAACTACTAATCCTATAATGCCGCTCATCAAAAGACATTTTATCTACAAAGGAATGGCAGTTAGACTAACAGCTAACTTGTCAATAGTAATATGGAAGGCAAAACATAGCAGAATGATATTTTCAATATGCATAAAGAAAATATCAATTGCGGAACAAGAAAAAATATTTTTTGAGAATAAAGGTAAAGATATTGAGAAATCGAGAAAGTTATAATTTTTCTTGATAATTTAATTTTTCTCAATAAACAAGATGTTAAAGAATGAACTTGAGGTAGAAGGAAGGAGAAATGATCCCAGATAGAAAAGCTGAGATGCAAAAAGGAATTCTGAGCAAAGAAAATGATAAATTTATGTTGCTAAATCTAAATAAACTGATTATATAAAACTATAATATTTGTATAATTTGTGGAATTAAAAAAATAACTTAGGACCAACTTACTAGATAACAACAGCCCATAGATTGGGAAGGTGCATACATGAAATCAAAGCATTCCGAGATCCTCATATCATTTCAGAGAAAGATAAAAATAGTAACTACCTTTATACTTAAGAAAGGTTAGGTATTTGTGTTAACATTGCTAAAACAGCCACCAAAAGAATATTAACAGGGCACAGAAAATTTCCAAACTATTAGAGAGATAAAAAAAGAAGCAGAAAAACTAATCGATCTAAAAGGAGGTAAGAAAAAGGTGAAAAGTATAGAAAATGCAAGATAAATGCAAAGCACAAAATAAGACAGTAGGAATGGATTCAAATAAATCAGTAACTACAACAAGTGTAAATGGACTAATACTTCAGACGAATATAAAAATTATCAGACTTCTTAAAAAAAGAAAATCCAATTACAAGATATTTATAAAACTTATTTCTAAAACACAACAATGCAAAATGGTTAAGAGGAAAACATAGAGTAATACGTAAATGAGCAAATGCTAACCAAAATAAGGCTTTGTATCTATACTAATATCAGATAAAACAGACTGTAAGGCAAAAAATAGAGGCAAAGACCTCATTACATAATGATTAGCATTTTCACCAGGAAGCTATAATGGCTCTAAATGTATAAGCATCTAATAACATAATCTCAAAAAACATCAAGGAAAATTGACTAAGCTATGAGGAAAAAGACAAATCCACCAGTAACAAGAAATTTTAATGTATTTCTCTAACTACTGCTAAATCTAGCTGACAAAATAATCAGTAAGGATAAAAAAGATTCAATGAAAACAATGAAGAAGCTTAATCTGTGTGCATGTATATAGAACACTGTTCTTATCAACTAGAACATATGTATTATTTTCAAGGACACATGTAACATACATGAAAATTAAGCACAGCCTGAGCCATAAAGCAAATCTCAATAAATTTAAAATGACTAGTATTTTTTAGACCAACACCACCCAATTAAATATAAATGTGAGCCATATGTGTACTTTTAAGTTTTCTAGAAGCCACATTAAAAAAAAGGAAAAAGAAGTGAAATTCATTTCATATTTTATTTAACTCAAAATATCCAAAATATTATCATTTCAACATGTAGTCAATACAAAATTACTAATGAAATTTTAACTTTTTTTTGTACTGAGTCCTTGAAATCCAGGGTGTGTTTTACACCTGTAAGTACATCTCAATTTGGATTGGCCAAGTTTCAAGTGCTCACTAGACACAAGAGGCTAGTGGCTACTGTATCAGACAACTTAGATAAAGATGACTTTCTCAGACCACAATATGATTAAGTTAAAAAGCAATAATAAAAAGAAAGAGAGAAAGAAAGAAAAGAAAGAAACCCCTATGAATGGAAATTAAGAAATAAACTTTTGAAAATGAATATATGTATATATATATATGCAAGACTGGGACATTATGCTGTACGCCAGAAATTGACACATTGTAACTGACTATACTTCAATTAAAAGGGAAAAAGAAGACATACACTTCTAAATGACACATAGACCAAAGAAAAATTGTAATAAAAATTATGAAATACTGAGAATTGAATGATAAGACTATATATTAGAGTGTGTGGATACAGCTAATACGATAATTAGAGGTTTCTTTATAATTTTAAATTACTTTATTAGAAAGGAAAAAGACATAAAATTAATGAAATAAGCATCATTCTTAAGATATTATAAAATTAGAGACTAAATGGAAAGAAAGATGACCCTGAAAACAAACATACAATGGAGAGGATCAACAAAACCAAAAATTGGTTCTTTGAAAAGACTGAAAACACCAGACAGTTCTCTGGCAAGATTAGGGAAAAAGGTAAGGTACAACTAGACATTTGGAATGAGTAATCATGAGTGCACAGATATTAAAAAGATTAAAGGCTACTGTGAAATACTTTATGCCAACATGCCAATAAATTTGAAAACTCAGATTAAGTAGATACATTTCTAGAAAAATACAGCTTAGCAAAATTGAGTCAAGAAAAAAAATTTTGAACTGAATAAACCTACAATCATAGAATAAACTGAGTAGAGAAGGAAACATCTTCCCTAAAGAAAACACCACTCCAAACATTTTTTTATCAGTATTCTACCAAAATGTTCAAAGAACAAATAATTCCAATCTTATACAAATTATTGCAGAAAACAGAAAAGGAGAAGACACTCTGCAATTCTAAGAGGCTGCAAAACCTGACCACTTATTTGCTGTGTGACCCTGAATTCCAGTTTTCTTAATCAGCAAAACAAAGTTACTAACATTGACTTTTAATACTATTGTGAGGATTAAATATGAGATGATGACGTCTGTGAAGCTCCTGGTATACAGTAAGCACTTAAAAGAGCTATTCTTAGGCTGTTCAACTGCTGGAGACACATTCGTCCCTCACACACTTCCTGATGCTTTGCAGCTGCAGACAAAGTACCCAAGCCTGGGAGCCTAGGTGGGACCGGAGGAGTTGTGTGCCTCCCAAGCTGTGATGGGCGGAGCAGGGGCACTGGCAGAGCTGCCCTCCCATGTTCCCTGCTATCCCATCCACAGAGTGACTCCAGACCTCACTGATCACTGTGGGACTCAGGACAGAGAAGAAAATGGTGTTTCAACCCACCTCCCCACCTCCCTGCAAGAGTCTCCAACTCACACCAAAAGAATACAACACAACCAACCTCTCAGCTTCCCAGCCATTTTGGGGCCCAGCTGATAGAGGAGGAAACTAAGATTCAGAGAAGAGACATCTCTCTAAAGTCACTCCATTCTAAGAAGCAGAGCCTGACCTTGAACCCGTCTATCTGCCCTTGACATGGGCCAAGCTGCCTCCAGGAGAAAGTGCCAGGGCCCAGTCCAGCCAGGCACTATGCCCACGCTTGCCACGCTTGCTCACGCCCCACTCAGCCCTGTCCTCAACCACCCGCCCAACTCTGTCCTCAACCACCCGCCCGTCCCTGTCACAGCCCAGCCTCAATTCTTCTCCTGCAGCTGGCACCAGTTGCCATGGCAACGGGTTGTTTGGGAAGTTGTGGGATGACAGGCGGAGCCACAGAGTCAAGGATAGGGCCAGGAGGAGAGAGCAGCCGTGAGCTGCTTGCAGTGCAGGCAGGCAGGCAGGCACCTGGCTCCACCACCCCTGCCCCCAAACACTGCAGACCCAGGAATCCCAATTCTGGGCATCTGGCCCAAATACATAATCTGAAATGGGGAGAAGCCAGATGCACAGGGATGTTCACCCTGGCAGTACTTAGAGCAGGACAAAATTGTATGTCAATAACAGATAACATTTTTGAGTATTTTTCTTGTACTAGGCACTGTGCTAAATGTCAAACACACGTCATGTCATCTCATCTACTCCTCACCACCACCCTTTGGGTAAGTTCTTTTAACACCCCGATTTTGCAGATGAGGAAAATACACTCCAAAAGGTGAAGCTACTTGCATAGGTCATTCTGATAGTGGCAAAGCCAGAATGAACACAAGCTGTTGGCCTCTGGGCTTTGTGCTCTTTTTTATTTTTATTTTTTATATGTTTTTTCTTTTTGGGGGGAGTAGGTAGTTAGGTAGGTTGGTTTGTTTGTTTGTTTGTTTTAATGGAGGTACTGGGGATTGCTTGGTCCTGCGTGCTAGGCATGCACTCTACCACTGAGCTATACCCTTCCCCTGGGCTTCATGCTCTTAACTACACAATAGTATTTGGAAATGAGAAAAGGAAGTTCTGGCTTATCCTCTGGTCCTGTTAGTGCCGGCAGACAGCTATGATGCAGGGTCCAGGGAACACACAGATTCGGCAAAACAGTATGTACCAACTTGGAAAGATCTTCAAATAACTTAGCACTTGAAAAATAAACAAAGTCCCAGAACAATGAAGCATAGTATGAGCCTACTTACATATAAAAAATTGTGATCAATATATAGACGTTCATATATGTATAGAAGTTCATAAAAAGGAGACTAGAAGGATGTTAACCATTAACAGTGGTTATTTCCAGATAAAGGGCAACTGGGCCAGGAGGCATTAAAAGGGATTTCTGCATTCTGTGTTAACAAATTCATTGTAAAACAGTTTTTTTAATACCTAAAAAGTCAAGTTATAAATTTTGACACACGTGATCCAATTTCTAGGCAAAGAAAAGATATCCATGCATAGGAAAAAGATGGAAGAAAGGACATACACCAAAATGTCAATAGGAGATAGTTTTAAATGCTGACATTATGAGGGTTTTTGTTTCTTCCTTATTTTCTATGATAAACACTTATTAGTTTTTTTAACTAAAAATTAATGTTTCTGAGTGATGTTTGCAAAGACAATGTAATCGCATTTCTAATGTAATTATAGTATCCAATAGTGGTAAATCACACAAGCAGCTCATTGGTTCCTATCCCAGTTCTACTAATTTGCTGTCTGGTCTTGAACTAGTCATTTCACCTGTCTGAGCCTCCGTGTCCCCATCATTAAAATGGGTATATATCAATAGCATTGACCTTGTAGCGTGTTAGGAAGGTGGGAGACAAAGTGCTCAGCATAGTACCCACCATGTGGTAAGGAAGCCTGGTGCTATTACTGCTGTGATGCTAATGAGGAATGTGTACAAGTGGGTAAGCTCTCCAAACAGACTGCCTGGGTTTGCATCCTGGCTCTGTCATTTACCAGCTGTGGGACCTTGGGCCTGTAACCTTACCTCTCTGGGCTTCATGCAAAGACTAAACCAAAAGCACCTAGCATATAATACATATTCAATAAATGTGATAAAAAATTCAACTACTTGAGAAATACACATCAAAAACAGGTAATGCCATATTCTCCCTTGGTGTATAAACATGTCAGCTGTGATTATTAATCAAATGACAGTTACTATTATCAGTAAAGGAACAATGGAAAGGGAAGCAGTGAATGCAGGGAACATGGCCAGGAACTGACTCCCTTGCTGTATGAGCTTGGAGAAGTTTGTTAACTTCCCTGAGCCTCAGTTTCCCCATCTGGAAATACAGGGCTAATGCCTATCTCACAGGGCCATGGTGACACCCGAGGAAAAGCAAATTTAACATGAATGAACCTTACCTTGTGCCTTATGCTGTGCTAGGCATGTTATTTTACACCATCATCACATTTAATGCTCAAAACAACGCCATTAAATTGGAATTAGTGTTCCATTTTTACCGACAAGGAAACAGGGAGGTTATAAAATATTCCAGAGTAACTCAGCTAGGAAGTGGGCAGAGATAAGATTGGAACCCAGGACTCCCTGACTCCAAAAGATAATGATGCCTTTTCTATCCCAACTGTTTAGACTCAGCTTACCAGTCTGTGGCAGCCTCCTGGGCTGGGGTCCTCTGACTGGTCCTGGTTGGAGTTCTCTGAGCCTCTGTCAGCGCTCTCGTCCTGGTCATAGGGCACTGGGCCCCTTCTCAACTTTTTAGCACGCCTGCAACTTCTCTGCCCCGTGGATGGGCCTGAGCTGGCCTTGCCGGCTGCAGGCTCCTGGGAGCTGGCGGGGTTGTCAGTGGAAGCAGCAAGTTCCTGCTCTGGCCTCGACCCCGACCCTGGCTGAGCCTTGACCTCCAGCTCTTCCTGGTTGTGCGAGGTGGCAGGGCCATGATCATCGCCAGCCCCCACAATGTGTTTGGCTTCTTGACATTCTGTAGAAGCCTTTCCAGACACTCCCAGGCACAGTGCAGGGCTCAGTGGAGGATCCCGGGCAGGTGGCCGAAGGGACTCTCCTTCACTGGGCAGTGGGGACCCGACAGGGTCACAGGGGCTGCCTGGCTGGGCCCCAGCCCCTGCAGTAGGCAAATATTCAAACTTCTTAGTCCCTGAGGCACATCCCACCCAAACTTCACCTGGATCTCCAGGCCCAGACCCAGTGTCCTTGGAAGAGAGAGGATTGCAAGGGCCTCCCACGGACTCCATGTCAGCACCTTGTGGGGGACCTCCCACAGACTGGGGCTTGTCCCCACCAGGGCTCTGATCAAGCCGCAAGATGCCACCAGCCCCCTCCCCACCCTCTGAGTGGGCCTCACACTTCCTGCTTTTCTTTCCTGCCCCCACAGAAATGCTACAAAGATTCCTGGGCCAACCTCCAGCTAAGATGTCGTGCAGAGAAATCTGGAGCCTCTTGGGGGCCTGAGCCCTCCCCTGGGCAGGCACTGTGGGCATCAGGTTGTGGAGCCTGGGGCCAAGTACCCAGTCCTGGCTCTGTCTCACAGCTTGCAGCCCCGGGACCATCAGGTGGGCCTGGGCCTCCAGGCTGGTTCCACAAGCACCCACAGCCTGGGAGCTGGCACCTCCATGGGCCTGTTCCCTGAAGACCTTCTTCCTGCTGCCAGCCCAGATGGGCACCCCAGAGCTCTCTCCTGGCAGGTTTAGTACCAGGCCTGACATGGAGTCGGTTTCTTCCACATCCTCCCGGAAAAGCCCACAGCTGTGGAGGGGACTGAAAACAGCGTCTTCTGTGCTGGAGCCCTCTGCAGCCGCCTCCTGAGACATGTCTGTCCGCCTACTGGGGCCCAAAGCAGAAGGCAGGCCCTGTGAGGAGACAAAGACTTCACCATGGAGGGCCTGACTCGGCAGCCCAGTCAGGACACCAGGCCAGTGGGAACCTGGGTGGCAGCTTCCCCTACAGGTGGCACCTCCAGGGAGACAGCCCGCAGTAACTCCTGTTGTAAGCACCCCAGCAGGACCTGGGGCCCCAGGTGAGGGAGGGGAGGCCTGTCTCCAAACAGGGTTGAGCTAGAGCCACCTTTAAGGCCCTCCCCTCTCAGATGTTTGCTTAAATGGGCTATAGTAACAACAATGATCATTTATTAATTACTTACTCATGTGCATTATTTCACTGCATGCTGGCAGCCACAGGTGAAGAAACTGAGATTCAGAGAGGTAAAGTGACTCGCTCAAGGATGCGCGCGTACTGCAAGTGGAAGAGCCGGGGTTCTCTCCCCCACAAAAAGCCCAGCTCTAAACCACTCGGCACAGAGCAGACACTGAATGGGGTTCATTTCCTATCACCTCGCCCGTACCCCTGATACTGGTCCAGGTTTGACAGACACTCCACTCAGGCTCCCAGGCCTCACCAAGCAATCCCCCACCGGTCCAGAGGCTCTCACCTTGGGTCCCCGGGTTCCACCCTCAGCTATAAAGGGGCTGGGACCACGTGATGCGGAGAGCCCTGGGCGAGAGACGGGGGCGGACTCTATTGACGCGCAAACGGCGATACCCGAAGCGTGCTGGCTTCCCTGCTCCGGCAGAGGGCGCCCTCTCCCTCCCGAGGGCTTCCCGGAGGAGGTGCCAATTCCTGGGTGCCTGGCGACGAAGGGTCTTGAATTCCTGCCTGCGAATTTAAACATGATCCTTGGGAGATGGGGAGTTATAGAAAGTGCCTGAACTTTTCGGGGAATGTCAGAATCAGATCTAGATTTTTGCTGAATCATTTATTTTAATTATTTCTCAAATATAATTCCTATAGATAAAAATGCACACCCAAGCCCAACAGAAAGGTTAGAAATAAAAGCTAAAAGCATCACCTCACTCCCTAGTTCTTAGGAGCAACATTCTTTCTTCTTTCTTTCGTCTTTTTTCTTTCTTTCTTTCTTTCTTTCTTTCTTTCTTTCTTTCTTTCTTTCTTTCTTTCTTTCTTTCTTTCTTTTTCTCTCACCATGTTGTCATTGTTTTAGTTTTTATTAATATAACTGAATAATATACTTATGCTTCTATTTACTGTTAACAGTAACTGTTGACTCCCTGCTGTGTGATTTCATTAACCATCCTTCCCGCATTCTCCCAGTTTTTGTTTTTTATATTTATGTCTTTTGTTTTTCTATTGGTTGCTAATACAGCTCCCTGAGTACGGGGGATTTGGTTCCCCAAACCCCCACACACCAAAATTCCCCAATGCTTAAGTCCCTTGTGTGAATTGGCATAGTATTTGGATTTAATCTGTGCACACCCTCTGGAATACTTTAAATCATCTCTAGATTATTTATAAATACCTCATACAATGTAAATGTTATGTAAATATTGTGTGTGTGTGTGTGTGTGTGTGTGTGCTCAGCAAATTCAAATTTTGCTTTTGGAGACCTTCTTGAAATTAAAAATACTGTATTTTCCATCTGAGGTTGGTTGAATCCAGATTCAGACCCAGCACATACAAAGGGTCCACTGTATCAGTTTGCATCTTAGTCTTAAGTATCTTTCTTCTTTAGATTGTATCTCTCAACTCTCTTCTGTATGAAATCAATGATTTCCCTTGATATCTCCTTCCCACTTCCACCTTCCTCCACCAACTCAACTTTAACTTTTGCTTTGTTAAGATTTGTAGTATGTACACTCTATCCTGCAAATATAATTATGTTTGCCTGTATGTTTTTCTTAACATTGAAAGCCAAATGACATTTATAACATTATAACTATGTGAATACTTTCACTGCAGAACCAGGGATTTGATAGATCTCACTGAGAGGGAGAAGGAATTCCCCAACACTCTACACTCAGTTAGAATGAATAAATAAATATATATGTATATGTTTACGTATATGTGTGTGTATATATATATAAACATGGATGTATCTCAAAGACAAAATGTTGAATTTTAAAAGCAAGAAAATGTTAATGAGGGAAACTGAGTGCCGGGTATGTGGAAACTGTACTAATCTTCCATTTCTTTCTCTAATACTAAAACTCTTCTAAAAACTAGTTTACTTAAAAAAAAAAGAAACAAAAAAATGGAAGCTGTACTGTGCTCCATATCACAGGAAAGCTATCAGGACCACAAATGAGGTAAGAGTTGAGATTGGAAGTCACCAATGACCACAATCAGTGTTCTAAAGAAATAACTTTTTTGAAGTGAGAAGACCTCCCACTATGGGATGTCCTCCCGCTATAGATGGCAGAGATTTGGACCAGGGCCCCTAAGAACAAGTGAACTGTTATTATGATTCATTTAGATAGTGGAAATCTCCCACCACTGGGCAAAGAAAGAGGGAATGAAGGTACTATGATGACCATGTGGCACAGAGGATAAAAGGACAGTGGTAACTAATACAAACAGTGCTGCCTCGAGCCAAGGACTGGTCTAAATCCTTAACCTGTATTAATTCTATATTTAGCCTCCTTTAATTTACTTTATAAATCTTTCCACCAGGTCTTTGAGGTAAGTACTGTTATTATCCCTACTTTGCAGTTGAGGAAATAGGCACAGAGAGATTAAGTAACTTGCCCAAGGTTAGTAAGTTGACGTAGGAACCCAGGCATTCTCACTCACTCCTGATATTCTAAAATGTCTCATTGTCATAAAAAATAATCAGGTTTTGCCCAGGTTTTAGCCCAATGCCCCTTATCGAATAGTTTGCTGTTCCTTCATTGATTTGTGACAGCTTCTCTGATGTATACCTGGTCTTCACTAATGCATGGGTTTATTTCTGGATTCTCTGTTCTGTTCCATTGATCAATTTGCCCTGACCAATATGCCATTGTTTCAATTCTGTGGTTTTGTGATAAATCTTGATATCTTAGGGGCAAGCTCCACCCCCAACTTGGTTCCTGTTTTTCATGATTGCCTTAGCTCTCTGTATACCTTTATTTTTCCATACGAATCGTAGAACCATTTTTTCAAGTTCCCTGAAGAGTTCTGTACTTTATACTAAAGTTTCATTTAATTTACAGATTGGAGTTATAACTGAATATTTAAAACACTGAGTCTTCTAATCTATAAATGTGATATGTATCTCTCTATTCTTTCAGGTTTCAATTAATTTTTGTGATTTTTCTCCATCAAAATAGCATACATTTTATTTATTTGTTTGTGTGTGTGTTTATTTATTTTTATTGAAGTATGGTCAATTATGATGTATCAATTTCTGGTGACAGCACAATAATTAAATTATTCTATATTTCACAATTTTTGTTGTTTTTTTATATTAACTTTCCACTTTCATTGGTTATAGTACCGATGAAAAGTAAGGCAATCATATTTCATTGACTGTGTATCCAGAAATTTTGCTGAACTCTCTTATTAATTGTAATAATTTTTCTATTGATTCTTTTTTAAGTGTATGTAACTCTATGATCATATGGCCTGAAAATAATAATTTCATCTTGTATTACATCAGAGTTATATTTCCCTTTTTATTTACATCTTTCTGGTAGTTGCATTATTTCTTATATATCATAATTCTTTTTCATATCTTATTCCATAGTTTAGAATTTCTAGTGCAAGATAAGAAAAAGAATCTTCTCCCCCTCTCTCAGGTGCTTCTTGCAGGGGCACATGGGAGCCACACAACATCACAGGCGATGTTAATCTTTATCACATGGTAAGATAACATTTTTCAGACTTCTCCACTGCAGAGTTACTGTTTTAAGAGTTTTAAGACAGAGAGAGGTAATATTTTGAAAGAATATTTAATAATGTGGAGAGAGTGTCATAATGTGATATTAAGCATAGGCAAAAAATGGAAGTAAATGCATCAAAATGTTAACAGTGGTTCTTTCTAAGTTGTTTCTTTTCCTCTCTTTTGCTTTTCTCAATTTTTTTTACTGTTCCACAACAAATATGTATGACTTGAAAACTTCTTAAGTTTAAAAAAACTATATATAATATCACCTCCATTTTATAAACAACACATGCAGACATATTTAATTCATAAAAAAGTTATAAGACTTTCATTAAAGTTTGATAGTTGAGGTTAGCACTGGGTAGTAATTTTTATTTCTTCATTGTGATTTTATGTATTTTTCCATTTTTTTTACAATAATCTTGTTTTACTTTTTTATTGGACCTCAGATACATTGAATCAGGTTTATTTTAATCATTGGGTATATAGGACACATTCTCATCACTGGTCTATTCAAAGCCTCCCTTAAATTGTTTACGAATGTATGTATGTATTTGTTTCTTTTAATAATATAAAATGATCCATGGAACCACTGCCCAATATGAAAAATAAAACACTGATAAGAACTTGCATCCACTAGTCTGGTCTTCCCCAAAGTGAATTTGAATCCTGTGTTCACTGTTTTCTTGCTTTCCTTTTTAAGTAGTTTTATCACATTTATATCTATTTCCCAGAAGTATATCTTTTGTCTAGTATTCAATTTTTATAAAAAAGATACCATGTTGAGTGTGATATTTGGGGATATATGTTTATCACTCAAAATTAGATTGCTAAATTCCACCTACACTGTTGCATTTAACCATATTGCGTTCATTTTGACTGTTGTATAATACTTCATTGTGTGTTATTCCAGAATGGCTGTGTCTGTTCTCTTGCCACTGATTTTGTGCTAACAGGAACATTCTTGTTTCTCCTGATGTTCATGATAAGAGTATCTCTTGACCATGGAGCTAGGAGTGAAATTGCTAGGTCATAGTTGTCTTAGTTGGGTCCCCTAAAGCAGAGCCTGAAACAAAAGGGATGCTGATAGTTTATTTGAGGAGTAGCACCAGGAAGCAGGAATGAGGTAACAGAGAGAGTGAAACAGGGAAAAAGGAAAACATAACATAAGAGAGCAATACTGAGGTCACTGTGAGGGGCTGGTTCGCAGAATTGTGAGCCTGAAGGATGGACAGCAGGGGCATTTATCTGCAGACTCCTGAGCCCCAAGGGTCAAGGGCTGCCCCTGGGATGGGGTTACCTTCCCTATATTTCCAGGCTGTGCTTGTGGATGGACTGCATCCCCCCAACCCCTGGTCATGCAGCAGAGAAATCCCCGGACAGAAAACAGAAACACATGCATCTTGTGCCAGGGTGGGACCTGTCAGCACCAGTGAGTCCTGAGCTGGGTGGCAGGGAGGGGGGCTGCAGCTGTGGCTTAAAGATGGGCTAAGATGGTGTGACGCTGGCACCAGCGGTGGCTACGGGATAGACTAGGTGAGTGTAAGACTATTGCACACTGATGCCATCTGTGCTCCCAAGTGGTGCCAACTTTCTCTCCCATCAGTCATGTGCGAGAAACCCAGTGATTCCACATCCTAACACCTGCTATTTTCTAGCTCCTTAATGACCACTTTCTGATTTTTAGTAGCCTGCCTCTCTCTCTCCTTTTTCTGCCTTTCCTGAAATAAGTATGTGGTATTTGGGGCGTATATTTCTTTTACATTTTGATGGGAAAACAAATCTTTTGTTTTTTTTTCAATGAGTAATTTATCTGTTGAGAGTGTCAATTGCTGCAGAAGGGCCTGGAAATAATAAAGACTAAGAAAGAGCCCATCACGAGGCCTGGAGGTGTTGGGGACTCTGGCAGGAGTGGCTGGGGCAAGGGGCAGGGGAGGGGGAGGCTGAGCTGACCAATCCTCAGAGGGCTAAGAGGCAGGACAACAGAAGGAACCAAGCAGGAGGTTTGATAGCAAAAGGGAGGAGAGGATGGCATGCAGCTCCATGTCCCAAG